GGGGGGGGGGGGGGGGGGGGGGGGGGGGGGGGGGGGGGGGGGGGGGGTGGGGGGGGGGGGGGGGGTTTGTTTTTCCTCTTTTTTTTTTTCTTTTCTGACTCGGAAACTTTCCGCAACTTTTCGGACTCGCCGCGTCACTGATCTCAGCGGGAAAGTAAAACCAGATTTCTCCTCCGTACGGCTCCGATGGTGCGGGGCGGGATTCACCACAGAAACACTCTTTCAGCTGCTGTGATACCTATTATTATTATTATTACCTGCCCGTATCATTGATGACATGAGTGATTTTCTCCTAAACAAAACACAACGGTTTGCTATCTTCAATTACTTTTATCTGACGTAAATCCGCCTAAAATCTGTTCATTAAGATCAATACCCCATTAGTAGATTATATAATTTAAAGAAATATAATATATTTATCGCAACAGCAATGTTAAGGATCTATTTCCTATCAATAAATAAACAAAAATGCAGTGTAGGATGCTGTTGGTATTATTTGAGAAAAAGGAGATGGGGGAAATTAAGCAGGTTTAATTTTAAAAAGGCCACTCTTAGGGGTTTCTAAAGCCGTTTTCTCTTGAGTTTCTGATTAACATCTTCAGGTTTAGGGAAAAGGTGAACGTCAATGTAACTTAATATCCTTACAACAGCCTGGCAATGAGAACGGCCGGAATGAGAGGCCACCAATCCGTGCCCAACTTGTCCTGAGACCCCTCCCACGGATGCGTCTGTAACCAATCATAGGACTTGGGGGTGTGTCCTCCGCAGCAGTTCATTCCAAGCATATGTAATCGCAGTCCATTTTCCAAACCTGATGCCATTCGTGTGTCATGGGCGGGGTAAGCAGCGGGGCTTCGCGTTCCTGGCTGCCTGCGAACACGCCTCCCGGACCTGCAGGGATCTGTCGAGCTCCCTCCGGTCGGGGGCCGCTCACACATTGTTGTCACAGATGGTATACCCATAAGCAAGTGCTAAACTGGACGCAGAGCCCTTTTTACAGGAAACCCCAGAGTTAAATTGTTTATAACAGCTGGCGACAGAAGACTGCACTCTGACAGCGGCAGCCATCTTCAAAGGGGAGACTGCTGTGTAATCAGATGGAGTGTAACCAAGTTAGGTTTGTTTTCAATGTGGCACACAAGTAAAAACTAGTATTTTATTAGCTAACGATTAGATCGTTAATCAGACAACAGAAATAGTCTTAAAACCGTAGCTCCATCAAACTTAAGATTTATTAACGCAAATATTACTAAATAAGTGTCCAGTTTACGACAATTCAAGGCTCAGCCTCGAGGATTCCAGCTAAGATTTCTTAAACTTTTCTATACAAATAGTGACGAACGCGACATACAAAACGATACAGTACAGTCTCTGACCGAGAAAAGGAGCTAAAAAAAAGTGATATTCCAGTGTTCCAGCAAACATTTGCATCAGTAGTAGTGACTGATTTCTTCACGTCCCTGAAAGTTTAAATGCTCACAGCAAAAAAAAAAAAAATAATAATAATAATTCTGCAGTTCATCAAAGACGTTGTAGGAAAGGGCTCAATATCCATCCAATAAAATGTCCACTTTCTGCCTGTCGTTATTTTTGTACGTCACATTTTTAAAGGTCGACGTCGAGCTTCTGAAGAGCGGGTTCGTACCCTGGAAGATAAAGAAGCATAGTCTGTTATTTCGATACCCCGCTGCTTCTTGTGGTGGGGGGGGACATGTCACATGGGGTGGTGAGGGGGGTGACGTACCACTGGCCATTTTGCCTGGGCCCTTTCTGCCTCAAATTTGGCCACTTCTTTCCGGTCGTGGACAGACACGAGCAGCTTCCAGATCCCCAGCAGGATGAGGCCGATGGTGAGGACCGACAGCGACACACCCAGCACTATCATTTCAATGTTGGGGGGCTCGGGGCAGTCTGAAAGAGTCGCAAAGACCCAACGGTTTCATGCTGGACCATGTGATCCTGGCGTCTGTCCCAGGAAGCACAGGGCACAAGGCAGGTGACACTACAAGCAATCAGAGTCACTGATCCACCTTGTCACACCACTGCACTATGTGAGTATTTTAATGGCGTGGAGAACGATTTTGTCTGTGTTTTTGTTCCTCTCCTCTTTTTCTTCCAGGCAGTTGTTCTTGCATAACGTGCTATCTGTCTTTAAAGAGCCCAGGGGCACTAATCCTTAGCAGCCATAAATTTTGTTTGACTCCTGTGTTAAAAACAGGACTTTTGATGTTACTGAAAGCTAAATCGCTCATGTTTTTTTTTTTTTTTAAATAGTTCATTAAGCACTTGGGAAGCAATGGATGTACAATTATATATTACACACTCTTATGTATCACACTCTTATGTATCACACTCTTATGTATCACACTCTTATATATCACACTCTTTGGCCTGGGGTGGCCAGCTAGAGGGATTGAATGTCTGACAGGTTTGTGAACTCACCGGATAGTTTGGGGTTGTAGATGACGTTGCCGTGCTCTCCTGTCACCAGTCCGAATGAAAGGACGCAGTCTTTCTCCGTCTTCAGGGCACAAGTGACAGACTGGCTCACATCATACTCTGAAACTTTATCTAGAATACAACAAAAAAAAAAGACGCTGTGTAGCGTTTCGATCCCTAGCATCCCTTACTGTTTAGTCTTTGTCCAAGTGTAAGAAGATAGTCTTTTTTTCTTCCTTCGGCTGCGGCGATTTCCATGTGAAAGACTTGGCAACAAAACCAAATGTTGCTGGGAGATGTATGGTTCATCAGCTTCTCCCATCAGATACACCTCTCAGCTTGCATTAGTGTGAATGGAGTGATAATAAGCACCGTCCAAAGGGCCAGGGCCCGGCATTCAGCTGGCCAACAAAAAGCCCGTCTGTACGACACGGTAAATAATATGTTCCCCTTTGTGGGGAGTCAGATGAACAAATCTACAGTTTTTGAAGGGGTGACCAGGTTTATAAAGGGTCACCAGAGTTGGCAGGGTGGCGTTCCTGTAGATCTCTGACCCGTGTAAAGGGTTTAACGTGGCGCCCCATGTCTGTGCTTAAATTACCGCTACTAGCTATTACTAAACCACACATCACATCTTCAATGCAAACCATTATGATTCACTTCTGAATGAGGAGACGAGTGTGTTAGAACCCGGGGGGGTGGGGGGGTGTGTGTACCCTCCAATATTTAATTTGGATTCATTCATCTGCCAACAAATAAACCTCTGTATTTAAATTATTAAGTTGTGTTTCCCCCAGTATGAAACTCTCTCCTACACCATTGTGGGGAGATTGCCATGGAAACAGAAAGTTAAGCTACAGTGTCGAGTCAGATCGGCTGTGGACCCCCCACCCCAAAGCGGCAGGCACATAGAGACCTGCAGTGCGGTTGACGGAGACGTGCGGGGCGCTGCACTTGAGGTGACAGTCCTCGGGGGGGTCCTTGTCCTGCTGGTGACACTCGACGCAGCCCCTGGCGGGAAGCACAAGGACAGTCATGCCTACTGCACCCCCCCCCCCCACATGCAAACCAGAGCAAAGAAAATGCTTCATAAACTCCAGAACATTCCACAATGTTCCTGATGATGAAATGCAAGCGATGTCGTGCAGATCTCAAGTGACAGGTCCATTAAAGGGATGAAAGTTCACATGTTGGATTCGCACTGTGTTCAGAAAATGCTCAGGAGGGCGGCGAATGTGAACATGAGTACTGTTGTAGCACCTGACAGCCAGGAAGACCTTTGTAGGGACATTTCTAAGGCAGAGGGAGCAGGAGGGCGTGTCTGGATTTTGATTATAAGTGATCCAAATGACCATTGTAGCTTAAACATCACTGCTGGCGCATGTCAGAAATCCCAGTAACGGGATACCCAGAATAACCCCGTAAATCCCAGTAACGGGATACCCAGAATAGCCCCGTAAACAGACAGCTGGCATGTGAACCGTTTTATCATATCAGAATCACGCAGATGAAGTGGTTGTTGAGGGGCTGACTCACACGCCCCCCCTCCCAGGGTATCAGGCATGGGGATCTCCTGCCTGATGAACCCCCCCACATCAACCGTCGAAGGTGGGACCTCACCTAAAGAGGCTACAGTTGTCCCCGCAGGTGGGGCATCTCTCGCAGGTCCGCCCTGAGGCCTCCGGCACAGAGCACACACACTTCCCACAGACGCACGCCCCCCGGCCACTGCAGAGCGCCCCCTCTGCCGACAGGCATGCGTCCGTGCTGCTGCTGCAGTTACAGTACTCGCCCGTCCAGCCCGGGTGGCATGCGCACTGACCGCAGTCGCAGTCCCCGTGCCCTGCATGGAAAAACATGCGACGGCCATGCGTGACGATCACAGGAGCGCATATCACTGACGATGCTACATTATAAATTATACGCTACCAGTCAAAAGTTTTTTCGTACCACAGGTTTTTACCACTTTTCCATTTATTTCATGAACTGCAGATTTTTCATTCATGTTAAGCATTGGAAGGTTGAGTAAACAACTATAAATGAAAATATGTCAAATAAAACAAGTTTCCATTATAACATGGAAAATGGAAAGAGTATGTAACAGATGTCTGACATCGTATGAACTGGTTGTGTGGTGATGACAGAGTCAAATTCTAGGCTGTTCTTTAACTTTAAATGCACTACTTAACTGTTTCATCCCATGAAACAGAGCAGTATTTAATGTCCCTTGTAGAAAGAATGCCTTTAATTTGCTCTGCTGTTACAACTGCTAGAGGAGGTTACTTTGATGAATGAAAGATATGACGTTTTCTTGCTAATAAAGGTACTGAAACGGTGAACATACTGTAAATTAATTTAGTAGCAAAGAATATTGAGTGTATTTTTAGTAAATGTTAAGTGAGTGACATGCAAATGTAGAAAAGCTCAGTGCGTGCAAAACTTTAGACTGGTAGTTTATATACCACTTATAAACAAGTATTACTGATACGGTTAAGTCTTTGGCAAATGTCTTAGTGTGGATATTTCAGCCATATTCCATAAGCGCTTATCCGGTGCAGGAATACAGGCAGTCTGGAGTCTTTCCCAGGAAGTAAGGGCACGGAGAGGATGCCAGGAGACCACAGCGCACACACACACACACACACACACACAAACACACACAATGTGCCCTTCAGAGGCAGCACCACAAGTAACAGCATGTCTGTGGACTGTGGGAGAACATATGCAAAGTTCAACCCTAGAGGCGTGAAACAACAGAGCCTCTATAGTTCCATATCCATGAAACCCTCATGATTTAATTTAGATAAACAGATGATAGATACAATACCTGTCAAAAGTCTGGACACACCTACTGACAATCATTTGTTTTTCAACAAGGTAACAACTTTAGGCATGCCTAAAAGTTAAGTAAATACTGTTTTGTCTTGTGAAGAAGGTTAATTGGTGACAGGTGACCCGGCCCCCTCAATCCCCCGACCTAAATCCTACAGAGCTGCTTTGGGATGAATTGCATCGAAGATCAGAGTAGCCAACTTGTGCTCAGAACTTGTGGAAACTCCTTCAGCCCTGATATTGAAGCATTGCAGGTAGGTATACCTGGAAGCTGGTTGAGAGAATGCCAAGAGCCCCTGTCATCAACGCAAAAGGGTCTATTTGAAAGAGTCTAAAACAGAAGAAAATGTTGATATGATGAACACTTCTCTTGATAGTTGCCATATTTGAAATGCAGTACTTCATTGCCTCGAGGCCTTTTATTATGAAGTGAAAGACAAATATAGACAAATGCAATAAAAGCAAGGGGTATCCAGATTTTGATACGTACTGTAGATAGATACATAAGGACAGAAACAGACAGACACAGATAGATAGATAGATAGATAGATAGATAGATAGATAGATTCCTAAAGGAAACTGCTTAAGTTCTAAGTATCTGAAGTTATTTTACTATTGCCTAAAAAAGGTACTGCTCTTGATTGGTCAGATCTTCGTTTGGGGCCTCCAGGGCCACACCCCCTACCTCCACAGATGTCGCCACGGAAGCGGACGCAGGAGAAGTCGTTGCACTCGCAGTAGGCGCCATAGATGCGGCCGAAGTTTGAGGGGTTACAGATGCACTGGCCGCAGTAGCACTCGCCCTGGCCACTGCAGGACTCCGCCTCGGGCTGCTCCCTGCAGCTGCTGCTCTGCACGCTCTCCTCAGTGCACTCGCAGCGCGGGCCCATGTAGCCGGCATCGCACAGGCACGTTCCGCACTGGAGCGCCCCCCGGCCGCCACTGCACAGGCTGCTGTGGGGCTCGGGCCGCCGCTGGCAGTCGCACTGGCAGAGCCCCTCCAGCTGCACCTCCAGTGCGTCCTGGAATCCCACCGGCTTCACGGTGAAGTGCTTGGGACCCGACGGGCACTCGGACAGCTCCACCGTCACGTTGAAGGACACCTGCGAGGCAGAACCGCGCGAGCTGGGTTTTCACAGCGTTTTGCAGTTGAAGCGACCGGATACTCGCTCACGGGGGCTAGCATGGCTAGGGGGCAAGCGGGTTCACTTGAGGTGTTTTTTTGGAGCCCAAACAGAAACGAGAGAGAACTATAAATGATGTCATATCAATAATCCGCCAATCAGCGCATGAGGCGTCAGGGGAAGCAGGAGATCGATTGGCCAGTTCCATGTTTCACAAGGAGGGTGAAGCTCCTGTTTTACCAGCCAGGCCCCAGATTTTGCTGGAGTCTAGGATCGCCTACACCAGGGATACTCAAAGTCGGAACAAACGAAGTTAATTCACCCGATGAATCAGCATGGTTAACATAAATAGGGTTAACATGTTTGCAGTACAAAAAGACAGAACCATCAGCTTTCACAAACATATAAATCATCATAACCACCCCCACCCCCATGACACAGTTGAAACGATCAGTGAGTGTGAAAAAATCCAGTATTGTTATATATTCATGTGTGTGTCGAAAGTTATTAGTTCATTAAAGTTCATGAAATGCTGTTTTGTTATTGTAAACTGTTCTGGAAAAATCTGATGTGGAACCTTGATCAAAAAGTATGAGAACCCCTGGTTTAATTAATCTGGTCCAACTTACTGAAAAGAAACCTAGAGGCCAGACCTCTACCATGTACTGTGGTCACTGCATTACTGCACAAATGCTGATTCATCTGGGACGCCATAAGGTGTCAGCTTGGCACCATTACCTCTGATTGCTCAGCTCTCAACCTCAACCTCAGCTGACGTTAGTAAACCAGAGAGAATGAAAAGTATGTAAACACAGGGAGAGCATACATACTCCACACACACAAAGCAGGAGATGGGAATCAGATCTCAACCACTGAGCCACCATATTATACCTACTGTATATGTTTAGTATTCATTATAATACACTACAACCCTTTTTTAAAAGTATTTATTATTTATTCAAGTATTTATTAAAGATAATTTAATATTTATTTTATACCATATTTGACTCTTGCTTCATGTATGAAGATGTGTATGTTTTTTACACCATTTATGCAGGCTGCTCCGAAATTTCATTGCACTTGTGTAATCCACTTGCACAATGACAAATAAAAATGTCCCAAAACCCTGATTTAATTATAAACTCTGGAGGAGTCACTCACCAAGTCTCCGACCTTGACGTTGGAGCAGCGCTTCTGTCCAGGCAGCACGCTGCCGTCGTGGCACATGGCCGTGAAGGAGATCTGCAGGCCCTCCGTGTCACCCAGGACCTCCAGCTCGATCTCCGACCGCAGCTCCTGCGAAGCGACAAATCAAAGTGTCTGGAAGCTCGGAGACACTCCCCTGCCTTTCCTCCCGATTCCCGGATGGGCCTGGATCAGACTTCGCTTTGGAGAAGCGGAGAAAGGGGGGAGGTCATGATGGAAGTTCCTACTAGTGGCTGTATGGAAGTGTCTGGAGGCGGGGCTTAATGGGAAGACCAATCAACAAGCAGGTGGAGACACAGGGATAAATTAGTTGTCATGGAAGTTTCCAGTTTCTTCCATTTCTGGGTCCCAGGCGTGTTTCTTCTTTTCAGATGACGAGACTCGTTAGACTCCAGTTTAATTTCCCGCTTTCGCTGCTGTTGACGCTATACGCCACAAAGCGGAGAAACTGACACACGCAGACAGACGGTGCCGTCTTACTTTATAGGCATTCACAATCAGCTCCAGGATGTTCCGGGAGTCTTCGGCAAGGACTCCGACAGTAGCCCCAGGGATGAGCTTGGCATAGTTCTGGAAAGGACACATGAAACAAGCGTGACATCGTACACATGCTGATGAAAGGTTCAGGCAAGATAAAGGAACAGGGGTGGGCAGCATGTGCGCCAGTTCATTTGTGCCCTGAGACTGTGATCTGAAGGTTGCTAGTTCAAATCCCAGACTCAGCAGACTGATTTCAGGCTCCATGGCCTTTAGCCCTCAATGGCTCCAGGGAGTATCTGACCCTGGCAGCTCAAAAAACGTACATCGTTTTAATAAAAGTATCCGCAAAATAAATATGATGTGTCACATTTCATCGTAAACTCTCAAGCACTGAAGCGTTTAAAGCATGATTCAGTTTTTGTCCCACGCCCACATTAGCTTAAGCTAATCTATGAGGCTGTCACTGCACAGCCATGTTCATACTAGAAGATAACGAGAAACATCTGCGCATCACGACACATGCACAAAGACGCCGCATTGAACTCTCTGACCCCCACATCCCCGTTAGCAAACTACATATATGGCTATGGGTGTAATTGGCCATAATTATTCACAGCTATCGAGATTCACCCTTGCCTTAGCAAAAGGCTTGTATGACAGGACCTGCTATGCACCGACAAGCCAGATTTGTTGCCCAAATTAAAAACCCTGGGAGCAGAAACACATTGACACAGTTAAAACAGGCACGTTAGAATTCAGCTCACAGTACTGGCACAGCTTACCTCATAATTACTCTTCTGCTTGCTAGTGACAGCAAATATCAGAAGGATGTTGTTTTCTACCAGCTTGTCGATGAGCTGTCCAAGAGTTGGGTACTCCTGGGGTTTGTGAAAAGAATGGCTATGAATCGGAGACGGAACGCAAACAGACTTACTGTTTACCCTTCCAGTTCAGATAAACTCTCAGCCTACAAAAAGAACCCAACCTGAGAATGATTATGGCAGGAACAGTGGGAACAAGTGCCAGATCAGATAGGTGTGTGAATGTCGAAACTGGCCAATAATAACACAAAGGATTGCCTGCAGCGGAGCATTCCAGAATGTTGTATTGCGGCATTGTCTTACCAGGACAGTGGATTTGGAATACTCGTTTCTGTCGTCCAGGTGACACTTTCCGTCATTGGGGATCACGATGCCCGACATCTTGCTGTCCATTCCGAAGTGTGAGTCGGCATCGCTAACAAACACCACCAGGTGCATAGAGTCATTCCTCCAGCCAATCTTCTCCTAACAGACAGAGACGGTTTTGGTAGGTTAGAAGACAGGGGCGATTTTAGGATGTTTTTAAGGGGGGGGGGGCATAGAGAGGGGTCCACCTTAGCATTAGCCAATGATATGTTTTGAATCATTGAGCGATAGGGGAGGGGACAATCTAGGAGCCAATCAGCTTCCAGCTGAGGCCAGTGCTCCTGTGAGCCTGCCCCTGTTAGTGGCGGAAATTAAAAATCTGCGGATCAGGATTCTGTACCACTGGTCCAAATTCCGTGTCTGGCAGAGTGATGTTACTGTTGGGCCCTTCAGCGAGGCCCTTAACCCCCATTTCTCCAGGAGTACTATCTCAGATGATAGTGTCTGCTATATTAATAAATAGAAATTTCTTGAAAATGGGCACGGCGAGAAATGAAGCTGTATATTTGTCAGTGGGTACATTAGTGAGTTGAACTGGTATCCAGAAGGCCATAGGTTCACGTCCCTGCTCTTGTAACCACTCATGCCATCAGGGTTGCAATGCAGAATTGCAATCCCCACAAAGCCAGGTCTAGATCTGTCTGCAAACTAGAAGAGCTGCAAGATAACAACACTCCTTGCTGCATTCTCATGAGATGTCATTATTCTGCTAAAATTTTAATAAATCGATTAAAGGTGTCAGTTCAATAGTGGAACAATCAATGAGCTCTTACTCACCCCACAGACGGCTGCCTGCATGATGGCATCAAAGCCACATTCTGGATTGTCGACGTTGGCCGAGACCTTTTGGCCTTTTATGATTTGATTGAATTTCTCCATGTTGGCGGTGAGTGGAAGGACGTGCTTGTATCCAAACGTGGGCAGACAACTGATGCCAAAGTAGCTGAGGACAGTGAGAGTCAGAGTTAGAGGAGAAGACTGAAAATCAAGGATGTCATGCAATTGTCACTGTTTCAGACTTAAAAGGGAATTCCACCACAAAGACCCTAACTGATTTATTGATCATCATAAGATTTACTATGTATCCAAAATGAATAAGACACAAATATCAAGCAAAAAAAGTCAATCCCTGGCATCAATGAGAGACATTTATCTTCTGGAAGTAACTTGGAGTTAATGTAAGAAAAATTAAGCTATCTGTTCAGAGACCTATGTAAAATACCCAGCTAGCAAGAGTGATGTACAAATCAAAAGCAAAGTATTCAGTTTTGTTATGTTATTTAACAGAGAAGTAAAATACAGTTTATCTGATATCAGATATTTCTTCAGGAAATGTGTTATATATGAGATGATCAAATTTTGGTAGAACTCTCTTTTAATGAAAGAGACAAATGTCAATATCGCTAGTCTAGATAATGGCATGTGACTTTAATGACAATGATGGCTAATGAGTAATGAATTTCAGCCTGGTTCTGATTGGCCAAACGTGTTCGGGAGGGTGTACCTGCAGGGGTTCTCTAAATCGGCAGGCATGGTTTTAATAAAGGGGAGGACCGGTTTCTCGACAAACGATCCAAAGCCCAGCCTGAATTTACTTGTCAGTTTGGCCATCTCCTTGGATAGGGTGGTTCCCAAGTTTTTAATCATCTGCAGATCGTCAAACATTGATGCAGACAGGTCCATCAGGTAGTAAATGTCCACGGGATAGTCCTCTGTCTGCTGGACGTGGATTTGGAATGTGACCTCACTTCCTGCCAGAAATCACAAATACAATTTTTTTGCCCCTTCAGACAAAATCCAGTAAAAAGACAGAAGAGTTGTGAAGGAATCATTCTCATCTCATCTGCAATAAACACTTATCCTAGGTAGGTTCATACTGAGCCTGGACGGGTAACCTCCAGATTGGATACCAGTCCATCACAGAGCACAAACTCACACATTATGGGCAGTTTAGTGGCACCAGTTCACCTAACTGCATGCCCTTTGACTACAAGGGTTAACTGAAGTAGCCTGAAAAAAACTAGAGGAACTTGGAGAAAACATGCAAACTCCACAGGGAGAGAACATGCAAAGCCCACATGGAGAGAACATGCAAACTCCACAGGGAGAGAACAGGCAAACTCCACACGGATAGAACATGCAAACTCCACACGGAGAGAACATGCAAACTCCACACGGAGAGAACATGCAAAGTCCACACGGAGAGAACGTGCAAACTCCACACAGAGAGAACAGGCAAACTCCACACGGAGAGAACATGCAAAGTCCACACGGAGAGAACATGCAAACTCCATGCACAGAGCCATGGTTGGAATCGAATCCTCAGCCCAGGTGGTCCCAAGTTACATTGTAATTACATTTTCACATACTGTGTATAATTATAGATTGAAAAGACAACATATCTGTGCCTCTGTAGTCAATGCCTATACAGCTATTACATCCATGCCAGTAGCCCATGTATCAGGGGTATTCAAATGATGAACAGAAACACAATGTACTCAGGACTACCTGATCAACCTCTCCATGTGAGATTTACCGAGGGTGACCCCAGGCCAGTCAGCAAAATTTCCATAGGGGGGCAACCCCCCCCTCCCCACCTCTGGCAAAATTTATAAAGGGGAAGCACAGATCTTGACTTTGCATAATTATTTAGTACTCCTGCTCAATAAGGTCATTGTGAAAGTAAAAAAAAAACTGCACATTGGTAATCTTATCTCACCTGCAACTCTAGAAGTAAACAGCTTACACTCTGTGTCTATCATCGTGCTCAGTAAACAGTTGTTATGGAGCTCATCAAATGGCAAATTAATTTAAAACCACGTTCTAAGTGCCGTGAAAATGAGTTATACCTGTTCTCACGCTCATAGACATTTTCTGTGGCGATATCTGAGTGATGTTGGCGTTGCCTTCGCTCTTCCCCACCGGCTCATCCTGATGGATCCAAACACTAGTTACAGGAAACTCGATGAGCTCCAGGCTGCACCCCTTCTGTTCCAGGATCTCCTCCGTGTCACATCTCTCGCTGACAGCAAACCTGTCCGTGAAGTTCTGCAAAGTGGAGAAGGGACTCAGTAATTCCAAATGCTACAGTTCAGGAGTCACAGCTGCACTGGCATTGTTCATTTAACTTGCAATTTAGATTCCATTTTATGGGAGACACTATTCTCCAAAGTGACAAGTGAGCAAAAGCAAAACATGCGCCCCTTAGCATTTAGTGCTAAGGGCCCAGTGGCCATATTACTAGTCTACCATCCATGGGATTTAAACCCATCACCTTTCTAACACAGACACACATCCCTAATCTTCTGAGCCACAAACCACTCAGAGATTCAATAACAAACTCTTAACACAGCAATTACAGAATACACATAGCGGCAGAGGTTAAACTAGGACATAGAGAAATATTTCCATATTGGACGCACTTATCCAACACAGGGTAAGAGATGATCTAGATATATCTAGGCCACATCCTAATACTATTCCTCATACTGTAATAGTTATATGCTTAATATACCAGTATTCGGGTGGCAGCGGTGAGCGACCCACCTCCTGCCTGCACCAGGCGCACTGAGGACCCTGTCGCAGACAGTCGTTACAGGTCACCACGCTTCCAACGGAGCAGGTCCCTGACCATCCAAAAAAAAAAAAAAGGTACAACATTTATACACACCCTACCACTGGACCTCTGATGCTATGCCTGTGTGATCCTGCAAGTCAAAATTCAAAACATAAAACAGTCTATTGTTCTCCGAAACTGTTGCCTTTTTTAACGGCACGCATCGCATAATAAGTTGGATGGTTGTCATGATACAGTACCTCGCTATTTAAATAACCGAGAACGCATTGATGTTTGACAGTAGCCTAATTGTTCTTGTATGGTCGACGTTGACATAGTTTTCTTGGTCGTTACTGTTACTGTTAAATTTCAAAATCTGAACACTTTAAAGACCAGATTATGCCGTACGAGTTACAACTAAAGCGCTATTGAGTTGTATGGTTTCTTTCAGCCGTAAGAGTGTATTTAAAGTATCTCTAAGTATTCCAGCAACGTGCTTACAATTGAATGCAAGTAATCGCAGGTTAAAAAGCTACAAGTTTTAATTTTAAAATGACCGAAATAGTTTGGTGCGCTCCTTACCTCCCACGACGCCGAGACTGTACAGAAGAATAAAACTCAGGCTCAGCAGGACAATCTCCATTGATCTTCGCGGATGTTTCTGCCAGAGATTTTGTTAAAGAGTAAAAACCAATTTAATATTTTAATACCCTGTGTTTTCACCCCTAAGAATAGTATCTGTACTAGTTATTGTGGGAGGGAATAGATAAGACGAGCTTACCTGTGTTACGAAGGTAGATCCTACAGTGTGCGATCTGCATACATGCTTGTGTGTAACCTTGCCCCTTTACTTCCGCGCAGGTAATAATGCAAAGGTGTGGCTGACTATGCTTGTATTGAAATCATAGCGTAGACGGCTTTTACCATTGCAGGCCTGCGAAGCCAATCTGGCTGGAGTCACTGTGCCGACCTGCCATAAAATCGTTTGATTAATAACGTACTATAGCTTCTCTTTTTTGTTAGCCTATATGCCGGTCCTCGATCGATATATAATTGACAGCCTAGCTAAAGTAATAGCCTACTGGATGGTTTTTCCAGCAAGTTCATGATGATATTTTGAACCATGCGAAATGTCGCTTCAATTGTTTTTTTTGCCTGTGTTTATGTATTTTCTCTGGCTTCAACAAACAGCGAAAAGTATTATCATCCAGAATTACCAGTCGTTACCTAAATTCAAACATTTACCCCTACCTGGTCATGAAGTCAAAATGTAATATTTTAGAATAATTTAACTGAGCTCTATAATATTGAAAATAACTACAGAATAAGCCATGACGATATAATATAAAACATCACATATTACCATCGATAGACTATTTAGGCCTACTAAATTAAAGAAGGTCGAAGACTGTGAAATCAGTCTAAGCGTTTATTTTAACAGAAGAATTGTGGCTGTGCGTTGAAAAACAACAATAGTTGAATTTTAGGAAAAGTACATCTCCAAAATTTGCACAAAGGTCATTTGAACCATAAAGATCTCGACCCACCGCTACACTCTCTAGTCCCTGCACAAGATAATAGTTCAAGAGCAGAAAGAATTATAGCGATGATATAATAATGATACTGATGTATATAATGATGACGTATATAATAATACTTCCCAGGGGATGTTAATTTGTCATTCCTAACTTATGCCACTAAGAAGTCCTTTCTAGACACACAATTACTTTGAGGTAATATTATACTAATTAATCATACCATCTCATTACTATACAACCCGTATTTCAAAAGAATTAAATATCTAATTCTTGTTTATTGGTTGTAATTAGCTCCTCACAAGCTAAACAGGAGTTAAGGTAAGTGCCCTAAATTACACGTTCTAAAAAGATGTACTTCCATTATGTTCATTATGATCATTCCACTAATTCATACCATTCGGGAAAACACAAGTAGTATTTTTACACAGGATAATTTTTAAAATAACTTTTAATTCACATAAATCATTTATTTAAATGCACTTTGGAAGGGCTTGCCTTTTAGAAAGAATATGTCTAGATGTTTCAAAACGCATATGGAGTTAAATATAAAGATAAGTCCTTTATGCTTTCGCGTGTATGAGTAATTTCTAACGTGCTTAAACGAATAACGAGTGTCTAGTTCTAAATGTCCAGACTCCTCCAAATGATTAATTTATAAAGAGGTATCTCCGCATTGGAGTAGCTCTGCGGCTCTGCGTGCAGCATTTTTATTTGAATTTTCCTGCTATTACTACAATTGCCAGCAGTCGCCACTGGAGTCATGGTTTCGAGACTATTTAACAGACGAGTATAGTTATTGCGAATGAATGGCTGAAATATGAGCCGTAGGACCACATTGACCGTGATCAGCAGACCCTGTGATTAGCCAATTTCTCATAATTGCGCCGAAATTCTGCATTCAAGCGGCAGCGCAGTTCTTCGTACATAAAGCTAGTTTAAACAGGTACTTCACTACAGCTGGATAAAGGGTAAAAGATGCACACCGAAAAGTCGCCTGGTGCTTCATTAGATCGCCTAAACCATGCAGTCAAGGAAGTGGCACTTAGACTATATTGTGAAATACCGCTTCTCAAAACGGTACCCAACGGGTCGGTTCGTGGGTACAATTTTGTTTAACCTTCGGGCGACGGAAACTATACGCGGAGGAAACATTTAATCGTCAACGCTGCTTTTCAGCTACAGCCATCACTGGTGCCGCGCCCCATGCGGAAAGTGAAAATGAAATTCCCAATACAGCCATTTTCCCAGGTCACTTATAACCGGAACATGTACACAAATGTATCGTCAAAGCAAATATGAAGTTGTAAAGCGTGGGAAGGAGACATATCAGTGAGGTGAATAACAACTGTTTTTAAAAATCCAACTTATGAGTCGGTGTGGTGGAAAGACATTCCAGCAGGCTAATCAGACAGACTGTAGTGTTAATGTATAACAGTACTAGCGAGTGGGCGGCGCGGTGGTGCTGGGCTTAGCCCGGTCCCCTCCCTCCCCCCAGGGTTCAGTTTTCCACCCCAGTTCCATGTGTGTGGAGTTTGCATGTTCTTCTCCAGGTTTCATCCAGGTACTCTGGTTTCTCTGCCCTCACAGGTTAACTGGAGTGACCAAATTGCCCCTAGGTGTACTTGTGTGATTGTGCCCTACCATGGCTTGGCATCCCATCCTGGGTTGTTCTCTGCTTTGCACCCATAGCCGACCCCCGCCACCACAGCCATTACAGAAAATGAATGAATGGGCATTTAACAAGATGAATAAGTACAATATATTTCGCAAGCTTCTTATTTGAAAGATCACCTTCATTGTCTGGGAAAAAAGATTAATCATCATTAATAATAATGTCTTCTTTATATGGCAACATCCAGAACAATTGAGGCAGATACCTGGGAAAACACTTTGTTTTCCAAAAATTTAGATAATGTACCCAGCTTCCTACATCTGGATCCTTCTGTGATGGTTGATGACGAATGATTCTGGATGGGAGTTTAAATGTGTCTTTGGACAGAAATGTAGATGTTCTCTGGACACATTTTTTCATTTGTTTTGTTGAATGTGTTGTTCCTTTCCATACCTGAACCAAAAACAAATATGCACTCCCCCGAGACACAGAGTAAGTTGTCCATTAACACTTTAAACCAGTTTCCACAACAAATAAGGCACCCATAGAAATGCACTTTCAGTTTACTTACGAAGATAAACCTTACCAGTTAAACTTGTGTCAACACTTGTATTATGACACCATTCTTGCTGCAAGTGGGTCTAACGACTTTATTCTTAAGTCAACAACGTACCAATTCGTTGCCCTGTCATTTCTGGTACATGCTGTTTCTCTATTGGCAATTTTCCCATAAAAAAATTGTGAATTCCCATTTAAAAAGCCAATTCCTATTTGGCTGACAAGTTCGATATCATGCATAATAAAATATGTCTCAACAGTATGACTCTGGACATCCATCCATCTTTCATAATGACTTATGCAGTATTGTAGGTTTACAGGTACCCCCTTAAACAGGATGCCAGACTACTCCATGGCAGACTACCACATAGCAGACTATTGCATGGTAGACTGCAGCTGTATTTTTTAACTGAAACGTATTAGTTCAGTTAGGCCGGTACAAATATTCTTCTTAAATTTTGATAAGGATTATGTTCATTTCACATCCTAAAAGTAAGACATACATATAAATTGTATATTATATACAGGTATGACAAAAACGTTCATATCCTGAGCGACTTTAAAATGTGTATCCGAACCAAAAAGTGCTGATCGCGATCAACCGGTCGGCCATCAATTAAATGAAGTATTATCCATTAATCATCACCCTGGAAACAAGCACCCCTTATTTACATAGGCTATTTAATGCCAGGGATGGGGAAGAAAGACCAGCTCTCACAAAACCAGCCCACCAGGAAAATACAGGTGTACTATCATTTCATCCTACCTATCGAAATGTCCTACCCAAGGCTACTGTGCATGTGCTTAGCATTTTTGTTTCTTGTGGCTACACGCCCATAAATTTATGCTACCAACGTACTCTTCTCGAAGACTAGTCTGAAGTAGCTCTGCGACAACACGGCAAGTACAGCACCAAGTCTTTTATTTTTTAATATACATGAAAAGTATTTTTTTCATAACTGAAGCTGTAAAGTGTTATCAAAACAGGGTTAGGGTATCTAAACAGGTTAAATACTGAAGGTAGTAGGTTCTGATGTGTATATCTGGGGTATCAGAATATGCTGCCATTGGTTAATGGCCAGTAAAGTGTATTAATTCATATCTAAACAGGTTAAATACTAATATCAATATTATTCGTTTTTTTGTCTTGCAATACATGTCTTTTATTTCCTCAGTTTGTTTGTGTATATTTCTTTGTAGATTGGTGAACTTGGACTTCCTATTTTTGAGTACCCATAATTTTAGGAATCACGCTTCGAATGGAATCACATGACAAATCAGGCAACACTACCTGATTTACATCCCAGCAAAACACAAGCTAAAAGACAAGATTGCTCACTGACTTGTTTAACCTCCTACAAATGCTTTTTTAAATAGTGTGTGTAATCCCGATTGTGAAATTACATGAATTCCATGTCTTTCCATTATGCAGTAAATAAGAAAATTGCTTATGTTTTATACTAAGCAGGCTATGCATTTCCTGGCATTAACTAGCTTCCTGTTTATCCTGGAAACATCCATAATATCTAATCATTTTTGAGTGTAATCCTTTTCAAAGGGTGAGCTGGTGTACTCAAGGCAGCAATAAGCAGTAAGGAGGTATCGGATCTTTATGCTCTGTGTGAGTGGTCCAGTAGAGCGTCTCCGGGCCTGCAGGGCGGGCAGGAGGGTGGCGGGGGCGAGGGCAGGAGGGCTGGCGGGGGCAGGTGGTGGAACGCGGACAGCTGCAGTGGCACAGGCCCTGCCTCTCGTCTGCTCCTCACGGCTTCTCGTCGGGTGGTGCCCGTATCCCGCCAGGTCCCATCTGCTCCTCCGAAGGGGCCAACCCCCAGCTCGCCTCCCCCCTCCACCCTTAGCTTGGCTCAACCTCTCAACGCAACGAACACGGGGGCATGGGGGGCTCTGTTGCCGTTCTCCATGCCCCCCCCCCCCTCCCCGGACACCGAACGGAGCTGCCTATCGCTTCACACCCCCACGACAGTGGGTCTCCCATCAAAGTGCCTCTGGAGCTTTCAAACAAGGCTTCAAAGCACAGGTTCCCTATTATTATTCTCTCCCTCAGACTGCCCCCCCCCCCAATCCCCCTGGCTCGTCCAAGCTCTGAACCCCCAGAAACTCCTGATCCTATTCTCTGGTCTCCCCTCTCAGCTCACCCTTTGAACCCGAGTGGAATTTTGCCCAATGCTCAGACCCGAAATTCCGCCTTAGTCATAAAATCAAACGTACCTCCACTGGCCTCCTCAGGCACCATAATGTCCAAACACGTGGGCACGTCTGGGCGAGCGGAAAAACGTCAAACGAAAGGGCCGGCTTGGCTGGGCCCCATCGCCGTAGTAACAGCAAGCCCGCAGTAACAGCGAGCCTGGAGTAACAGATTGCTTCAAGGAATCACGATCACGCTGCTCCCCCCCTCTCTCTCTCTCTCGCTCTCTCCCACTCTCTCTCTCCCCCTCTCCCTGCCCACCAGAGAGAGACACGGACTCTTACCGTAGTGCTGAATGATAGTAGCAACTGCTGGTTCGATACGCATAAATACCAGCCGTTCCTTAGCGGATGGACAGTGGGATAAATTTAGGATTGACAACCCTGTGTGCAAGAGCTCGCACATGAACACATGAAGAAGTTATGCTCTCTCGCTGTCCCCCATACCCCCGTTATTTTTACTACAATAAGACCGGAGGTCTGAACTTAGAGTCTGGATTTTTTTCCCCCTTTCAAACACAAGGAAGTAGGGGTGACATTGGGACTGTACTTTTCGCTCTTCTGTGGAATGACAGGAATGCAGCTGAGAGGCACTGGTACCAAAGCTAATACCTGTGCCAGTTGCACAGTATCTGCTGGGGGGGGGGGGGTTTGGGAAGGGATGAATGCGAATGACACAGTGGCAAGAAGCAGAAAACACTCGTTATCACGAAAAAACGTTATTACGTTTCTTCACGTAGTACAACGGGGCGGCATAATGTTTAGTAATGTTGCCTCCTACCTCCGGGACCGAGGTTCGAGTCTCCGCCAGGTCTCCATGTGTGGAGTTCGCATGTTCTCCCTGTGTCCTTGTGGGGTTTCCTCCAGGTCCTCTGTTTTCTTCCCACCACAGTCCAAAAACATGTAAGGTGAATTGGAGTTACCAAACGTCCTCAGGTATATGCGTCCTGCCATGGGTTGGCACCCCATTTCTGGGTTATTCCCTGCTTTGCGCCCCTAGCTTCCAGGATAAGCTGTGAACCTCCATCACCCCGAATAGGATAAGCGTGTACAGAAAATGGATGGATGAGGCACAACTTGATAAACTGAGCCTGCATATGATAGAGTTTGTCCTACCTCTATGTCATCCTCCGCAGTGGATATACAACTTCTCTGATGCTCTGTTTCATTTTTTTTTTTTCATCCAATGTGCGTCTTTTCTCATACTTCACTAACTAACCCTCGAATGAGGGCTGAAGGTGATGTGGAGGCTGCCATCCGGATTTGGCCCGTATTAAAAAATCTGCATTAGTGTTTACAGGCCGAGCAGGCAGAATTTTTATCCTGTTTGTTATTGAATTCAGCCTTTTTAAAATACAACAATGTCACACAGCACACATTTCCTGAACATGTGCTAAGATAAAACCTACAGCTTTCAAAAAGCACTTTATCCAGTGTTTTTCTGGTATGCTAAAATGTTTTATGATGAGCTGTAGACCATCCTAATTCTCATGACTTTAATTATGAAAAGATTCAAAATTGTTTACGACTCTAATGTGTACAGCAGAGGCCAAAGACAAAATCTGTGGTATTACAAGTGTCACTAAATCACTTTTAAAGTTTTAAAAGACAGATAAAATTTTAAAAGAATCCCTAAGGAAGTTCTGGTATGCCATACCACCACAAAGAAATGCTATTTATCAAAATGCCGTGCAAATTAATTCATTAGGGAGGCTGGATTGCTTGTATACATTGTGTACATAGACCCTACTGGCATCGATTATGGAGCATTTGGCAGCCGTTTTGTGTGGTACTGTGCGAATACTGACACGTAAGACATCCCTCCCCGTCATTTGAAGGGGGCTTAGAGTGAATGGTGTCAGTCACCTGCATGGCTTACGAGGTCAAGGTCGGCGATGAGAGGGAAATGTCTGGAATTCTGATCTGGCTTGAAGACACCGGCGAGTATAATCTGCCCCCCTAGGCCGGATCGAGCCATTTGCCGCGAGAAATACCCCCGCGGTGCCTCGCTGTCTACGGCATTATCTCGCTTAATGCCACGTGGTCTGCGGAGGCCGAGGCGCGACCGGCGAGACACTGTGGTCTTTGAAAAGCACCCACCTCCCCTCAATGCACTTCATCGAAGGTCAAGGTGAAGTGAACTGTTTCCTTCGGGAGATTAAAGGAACCGAAAGACCCTTTAAACACAATCCATCCTCAACTTGTTCCCTGCATTCCCACAATGCACTGCAGGATAAGGCCTGCAAATAACACCTGTCACAGCCATCGACCTACTTTTATATATTATATATTATGTATTATATATTATTACAAGCAGTCTTTGAAGTCATTACTTCGTATGTTATTGTCAGTGCCATTGCAATGTATTTAAATAAGCATTATGTTGAAATCAAAGTTTTGCACATTTCCACTGAAAGAGGATCTTCTAGAGTTTTTCAAATCGGTTGCGCTTGTATCCAGCAGTTTGAGTGGAGCGCACCCCCTACTGGTGAAATGACAAAATACACACGCCAACTACACTTCCTCAGTATGTGTGCCAGGGTGCACCCTGCATGTTGCCCAAAATTAGCTAAGTGTCTGGAGGAAGAAAGTGTAGATTTAATTAATATATTGATTTTATCTGAGTATTAGATGTTCAAATACAAATTGCCCCATAAACCCTTACCACGGTAAGCGATTAGAAGGCATGAGATTCATCAGGATGGGAATCGTGAGAGTCGGAGAGTCCTTATTCCTGAGTCACTTACCCTCTCCGCCACTGGCTCCTCCAAGTCTGGCTGCGCCCCCCCCAAGTCTGGCTGCGCCCCCCCCCCCGCGGTGTAACTCGGTCTCAGCTGTTCCACAAAACCAGGATCTAGAGCCCCATTTACAGGCATATCGACAGCCACTCTCTCCCTCTCTGAGGACCCGACCCCCCCTTCACCCAGACTTAGCTTCTGGCTTCTGGCTGGCCTGTTCTCAGTGGCCGGCTCTGGCTTACCTCCTCTCCCATCGCCATTTCCACCTGTCATTTGGTGATGAAATCCGGGGGAGCTGGGGGGGCTTGCAGCTGTGAGAGATTATCATTATTAAACTTAGTGGCACCGGCCCCCCCTCTTCCCACCAACCATGGGACACAGCCAACCCCAAATAGTGGATCCAAAGAATAGTTTTTATTCAAAAGTTCTCAAAAACAAAAACAAAGAGAAATGAACAGAAAATTGAACTTAAGTAACAATCTACCCTTAATTTACATTTCAAAAATGTCATTTTGGCATTAACAAACACTAGAAAACAAAGGAAATACAGAGGGAAGATCATTTTAACCGGACACTGACGCTACCACAGCAAGCTCTGTGGCAAAACAAAAATAAAAAAAATTACTCTTGATCATATAGATATCTCTATGAAACTCTTTAATCTCTTCTAAGAGTCTGTACAAAAGGTGTCTCTTCATAAATTATTACTTTTATTTTATAACTTAATGGCTGTCTAATACAAGATGGCTAATTCGAATGAGCATTGTCTTTCTCGCACAGAGTACGCCGGCTCTCAGCCGTAAACAGGAGTGCCAACAATTGGTTCACACCTGCATTACTTCCCATTCAAGCGACCACCAGTATGGGGCGCCTGAAGGGAATCTGTGACGGCCTTCGCCTCGTGCTCTCTGTGGTAGGGGGTCAACTTATGGGGACCACACTGGGGGTTTCAAGTCTGTTCAGAAACTTTATGGTGAAATGGTACCTCAGGAAGCCAAACGCAGTAAATACCATTTTTTTTTTTTTTTTTTAAATGAGGACTCCTGAGCTACTGGATCCTCAAGTGATAAAAGCAGCGGTTTTTTAAGTCTTGGAACTATGGGTATCTGGACACAACCTAAGAACGCACTGGAAACACAATGAGCCTAGCAATGATAATCATGTAAATTTTTTCAAAGCAACAAAAATAAAACAACGATAAAAGAAATGGCATATAGGGCCAGCTCCTGAGCATGGCTTCTGGTCTGTGGAGATGGGCTGTACCTGCAAACCCGGTGTAGTAGATTGGAGAAACAAAAATCTGAGGTAGATATCTGGTCCATCAGATGACCAGGACAAAAGACAGTCGCTTGGAAGACAACTTAATTTATAAAACCTTAAAAAAAAAATCTATTCTGAACAAAATAAGAAAGCCTCCCCTGTCACACGAATCCGTGGCCGGTGTAAAACGTCTGCCGTTTGTGGTGAATCATTTCATAGTTTCAAAGGGCCTCTCTGTAGTGATGAAGTGTGCAAGTGCGGATCTCGGCTCATCCTTCACGTGTCCAAAAAAAAAAATCACGTAACAAAACCAACAGCGAGACGAAAATGCACAAGAAAGGCACGTCATCCAAACTGCGAACCAATTAGCTGGAAACTCAAACCACGTTAATTGCTTGTGCTATGAGAGTGTTAGGCTGTTTCACTCATTTACCAGGTCACGGTTCTTTGGTGAAGGAAACGTGTTTTCTGAAAGCGCCGAGCCGTGCACTGCACAAAGAGCTAGCTGTTCTTTTAAGTTTTTAATACGTCTACTATTATGCTCTGTAGATGCCAATGAAGGCCGCTCTGTTTGGTAGTTTTTGCACAATAATAGATTTTATACTTAAAAGAACGGGAAGGAAACCTGACATTTTTAACACACTCAGCTCAAAACCAAAATGGCCCCCCTGCCGGGTAATTGTCTTTAGGCAAAAAAGTACACCGAGTAAAAAATAAAGGCAATATTTAAACACTTTATCATTCAACAAAGATTTTACCACATTCAAAACACTCCATTAAGCCTTCTGAAAATGCAAACATTTCATCTCATTAAAACTGATTAGAATCCAAAAGGCTTTGCACTCAAACATTTAAATTTTTCTTTCCTAAAATTCCTACTTTGATTAGTATTCAGCAAAAGATAAAAGGGGAAAAGATCGACACCTAAGTAGAGCGCAATTTAATTAGCTATATCCTAAAAAAAAGCCCTATCTAGCTGATTCACAAGGCAATTGTTTTCAACATTTCTTACTCATAAATCTACGAAGTTGCCTTCACAGCTAACGTATGAAAGAATTTAAGGCAAGTTGTATGATAGGACAGGTAAAAAAAAAATCAAATCTGAAAAGAAATATTTTACAAGACGTTCTACACTTCACCATAGCAACACTCACACAGCAAGCACAAAAGGTAATTTTCAACATGTCTGGCTGATGAAGTATTTCAGTAAAAAAGGAAAAGCAAAAAATGCATTAAAAATCATAAAAATCTTAACAAAAACACATCATATTTACTGCCATGGACCTGAACTGCCACACGGTCTAACGTTATCGCAGCTTATTTGCCTGCTTGGCAATCCTTGGTAAAAAATAAACGTTCTTTCATTACTAAAATAAAACATTTTTATTGTGTAGCATCTCTGGCAAAATTAAGTTTTTTTGCACCTTATGAAACTTATACCAAAATATTTTCAGTTGATTTTATTAGTAACAACAGGGAATCCTCGAAGAACCTGTGCAAAAAGTGGACTAATCCACAAAAGCATGATCCATCACAAGAAGATATGATTGTTTCAGCTGTAACGCGAGTCTGTCCTCTCGACTCCCATCATGCACCTGGGCAGGGACGAAAGGGGAAAAAAATGCAGATATGACTTCTATACAGGGAGATCCCCCTCCCCCCACAAAAACGGCTGACCATATACTGCCAAACGAAGACAAAACGCAGTCACTATAATGACACAAACTGTAGCATAGACAGAAAAATGGCCACAAAATTTTTTTGACTGTCCATCCATACGTAAGGAGATAAATGATCTTCAAAATTCAGCATAGTTAGACTAAGATACGGTATGATGTGATTAAGACATTAAGAAACCCGATTTTGGTTATAACTCATTTTGATAAAATATGCAGTTACGGCGATTTTCCTCTGTGGGGCAGTATAGGTAGCATATTATTTGCAGACTGTGGAAGGCACCTACCTTCCCGTCACTTGGCTTGTTGGTAAGTGTAAGAAGAATGGCCACTAGAGGGCTCCTGCGGCTGGCCGCTGCTTTCCTGACCACAGATCAGGGAGAGACTTGTTATAAAGAAGAATGTTATGCATCGTAACACCTAAATACGATATATTCCTTTAACCCCTCGGATCCTGGGTGGTGTGTGGCTCAGCGGGTTACGCCCATGATCAGAAGGTTGTCGGTTCAAGCCCCAGCCTTGGCAGAATAGTCACATCTCTGTTGGACCCTTGAGAAAGGCCCTTAGCCACTCCCACCTAAAATGCTACAATGGCACCAGATAAGGAGCCTGACCATGTAACTAAACCCCAAGAAAGCCAGCAGCAACAAACCTCCAGTTGGACAGCTGTGGTCTGCACGTGGGTGTACTGGGGAAGATAGGCCCCCTGCAGAGCCGTGCTGGCAGGCATGAACTGCAACACAGGGATACAGGAACTGTTAAGTCTCAGCTCTGCAGATTCGCCCCCCCCCCCCCCAATTTACCGGTCCTTACCGTTCCAGCACTGCCGAGGGAGAGGTGACTCATTTGCTGCGTTAGAGGGCTCATGATGGGTGTCGGCTGCAGTGACATGGTATGGTCCATAGAGGGCGATATAACTGCTCCCTAAACAGCACAGCCAATTTGAAGAAGAAAAAAGAAAGAAAAAAAAAAAAGAGGTCGGCGGAAGCAAAGTGATATCACCTTTTTTAGAGGCCACAAAAAAACAACATAAATAAAAGCAATGGAAGCCACCGAAATAACACCCAGGGAGTTATTTGAGGATCATCACCCACACAGTGTAAATGTGCTGCTGGAGCCTATTTTGGGAAATCACACATTTCCTATGGATCAGTAGTATCTGCAAAAAAGTGCTGCTGATAAAAATACACTTCTCTTGTAGAGAATATGCTGGCGTATGCCATTTTAAAGAATGTCAAGAATTTCGAGCAGGTTATCGGCTATCGAGGGGTATCCCTGGGAAATATGCGTATCCGAGCTCAGAGCTCTTCCGAGCGTGCCATCAGAGAGGGACGCATCCGGAGAGGCACGGAAGGGCGCTGGGGCCCCGTTACGTGCGGTTTGAGTCTGTATCGGGACGCCGGTCCCGGCCGCGGTGCAGCAGAGCACGACGTGTCGCATGGCTAAGCTACCAACCCAGAAAACCACATGAAAGGCGGTTTGCCCGCAGCAAGCCGGTGCAGCGGCAGAGCGAATGCAGGCCCCGGCAGTCACAGCTGCACTGCGTCGGCAAGAAGGACCCGCACCAGACTACACATCTGACAAAAGGGCCTCACTGGAACGGCCAGTAAAAATATACTGTATAATTAAGAAAGATATAAAGTAAAATGATGAAAATAAAGACTGTAGATGAACACTCGCTCGAGCAAAAAAAAAAAAAAGTTCCGGTAATCAACGGCAATGCTACAGAACTCAGAAACTTCCTATACTCAGTGCAGTGACTTTCTGTGCTGGGGTGGGGGGCGGCAAGGACTGGGGCTCAGCATATGCAAAACCTCAGGGGAGGGGGGGTGATTACCCAGCCACCCATGTGTGCCTCCACCCAAAATGCAAACAACTTTTGCACAGAAGGACCTTACGGCTACTGGAAATTTGTTGTGAAGTGGAGTAAGGGGGGAGGATTACCGGGTGCTGTACGAGGTAGGGCTGGTGTGACACCCAGGAGGGATTCTGTACCTGGAACATCAAACACACTGCAGTGTAAACACGCACCAGCCTGGACAAGAGCTATTTTGGGTGACCACAAATGTGCCTGCCCAAATTAGCTGTACAGTCAGACCCCAGAACCAGGGTGCAGTCTTGGGGTTCTGCAAAGAGGATGAATTTAGATCCCATTCTCTGCATACTAGATGAGGAATATTATACAGCCTACACACGCTCAGCTCACCCCAAAAAGTTATGTTAATGCGATATAGGTCTGCTTGCATGGCATGCGCATGGTCGCCGTGACAACGGATGATGGCACATACCTGGTAGGCGGATACAGGCGAGATGTAGGGCGACATGGGCGTCTGCGCGATCATCCTGTTCGCTATGCTGTACGGAGACGCGTAGTACCTGAAGGTGGAGGACGGATCAGAATGGCGGTGATACTGAGTGAGTCAAAGCGAAGATCGACGGTCCCGCCTCAGGCGCCCAACGCCTCTTACCCGTTTTGCATGGCAGCCGTGGCGGGGTCATATGTGATCATCCCTGCCTGTGGGAGATAAGAGCAAATGCACAGGTACAGTCAAACCAATGCAGCCGCAGCCTGACTCATGTCCGCCGCTGCCTCCACCGCCACGCTAAATTTAGCGGTGGCTGCCTTCCTGTGCGTCGGCACACCTCGCTCTCGCCTGCAAGCATCTCGGCGACAGCCGGGCGGCTTCGCCTCGACGCGGCATGGGGAATTCTGGGATACCCGTGCCCCGGCAGGACACGGAAAAAGCGGCAGGACTTACAAGCCTCACCTCGGGGTCCCGGGACCACGCGCGGCCGTTCTGCCCCGTGTACTTGCCCTGGCTCTGCCTCTTCTTCTGACCACCATCGGCAAACTTGCACAGCAGGGGTTCCGTGGGAGCTGGACAACATGGTGATGGGGGGGGGGGGGTTCACTGTAGGGTGCCAGCACTCATCCGACACGCTGCACCCATAATCCCATTTCCCCACTCCAATAACTCCCAGTAACCCTTCGAACACCATTCCGTCCATATAATCCAATTAAGAGCACATAAAGTGGAGATGTGTACCATAAAAGCCTGTGTGTGTGGGCGAGGGGGGGGGTGGGGGGGTGCTTAGCTGCAGAAAACCTGCTACCCACAGCGCCTCAGCAAATAAAATAAAACATCCAGAAGGCACCCAGTGAGTTGAAGAATAAGGGGACATTGCTGTGACATCATCGACGACCTCATTTCCTGTTTTGGAACGAGCACCATTCTGACTTGAATAATGTTGGCTGGCTTCTATACACACAGTCTCCTTTTTCTCAGACGTCTGTCTCAGAAGAGACGTTAACCGGAAATGGATGGCCTGTGCTAACTGAGCTGAGTGAGGGTGTTGGTGTCCTTGCTGAGTGAGGGTGCTTGGTGTCCAAAAGCTCTTACCCAGCACTCCGGAAGGCAGCTTAATGAACTTGCCGTTGAAGTGGGATATCACGGCATCACACTTCTCTGTTGACTCCATCCTGACAGAAATGCAGACAAATTAGCCAAAATAAATGTCTCTTGTTTTACCCACAATGCTATGCATGACTTCTATGCCACTTTTCCACTACACAGTCAGCCTGGATCTAACCCAGGAAGCAGAACAAAGGGGACACCCCACCCTAACAGCACGTTTTGGGACTACGGAAGGAAGTTAGATTATCCAAAGCAAACTTGCATAGCACAGTGAGAATACACATACTCCACAAACCCTCAAACATGAAGGGGCAAGGTGACCATGTTACCCACAGAGCCAGTGTCTCCCTCAGATCTTTTTATAATAATGACAGTCACATGACACAATGCCAGTATATTTGGTGATCACAAGAATGTTTTGCTGGCTGTGGAAGATCAAGAGATCGCATCTCCGTAGCTCACGGCCAACACATTAAGCACTTCCTCTGCACTCTCTGAATAAACTAAAAATGCAGGCCTCAGCTTGCCCAGACACCGCGGCACATGTTCTTACGACAGACAGAAAGACAGCGGCACCATGTGAGTCACAGACCCGGGCTTTTGGGTGAATCAGTCTAGTGTCTCCGTTACGCAAGTGTGAAAGGAGGAGGCCACTTCACCATAATTAAACATGGCCCGGTCATCGCGAAAACCGCTCTTAGACGGCAGCTTCGTTGAAGCAGTTTTTCGACTCCCCTCCTGCCAAGATTCAGTGAAAACCCATACAAATGATGTGAAGTCAGAAGGACTTTCAGAAGCCTGAGTTTCCACTAAAAACAAGTGACAAATAAAGAATCAAACTGCGAAATCTCCAAAACTCACTCTGCACAGTTCTTGTTGCTTTTGAGATGAGACCACCAATGACCTAAAGTCAGGCTTCCTCATAAGTTAGTCAGAGGTGGATAGTTCAGGTCCAGAAAGTACAAATCCAGACCAAGATTTCGTTTCAACCAACCACTTGACTGTGACCCTTTCTATTCATCTGGCTGGCTGAAACAAAATCTTGGTCTGGATTTTTACTTTGGGAACCAAAACTCATTCAAGTCCTCCTGTACTCCCATGAAGAACTTTAGTTAAAAATTCAGAAATAAATTCAGAGAAATGTTCTCAAAAAGTATCCCTTGGACTGAATGAGTTTTGGTAAAATTGCTCAAAGTACTGTTTGGGAAATCATGACCTTTGCCCCCTCAGTAAGTGTTGAGGGCCTATAAGGGCCAGCAAGGACCACGAGACTCACCTGGCGAAGCCCACACCTCTGCTGGCACCGTTTGAGTCCCTCAGGACCCTGGTTGAGATCACCTGACCGAAGGGCTTCAACATGTTCTCCAGTTCCTGCTCATCCATCGACAGGGGAAGGTTGGAAATGTACAGATTTGTTGGGTCTTGTTCCTGTTGCTGGTGACGACAGGAAGCAGGAAGATGTGTCAGTGCTGCAGAACGACCACCCAGGCATCCCATCATCACCCTTATCTCCTGGCAACCAACTCTGGTTACAAGTTCTGACACCATTGAAGTAATTAACAACCTCAGAATACGCAGCGTCTGTTCTGATCATTAAAATGGGCTTAAAGAGAATTTTATCACGCTTCCCAGTGATAATAAGGCGTGAGGGGCCAGAAGATTTGCTTCAGTTGGGATGAAAAACATAAGCAGGCATCAGGCTAGTAGAGTTGAAGTTCACAGATTGTTCTTATATTGCACTTCTGGTCCTTGAATAGTCTTATTAGGTTCTTGCTTTATTAGAAGTTGCTGTGTGGCTCGTGCTGCAATACTACTTATACTCATACCTGGGCATTTATTGGAAGTTCAGCCTAGCTGCACTTACACCTAGTTAACTCCTCGACAACACCAATGTTTGTACTGTGCCATTTGTGTTTTACGTGATGTTGGACAAAAGCGTCCGCAAAACATGTGAATGTGAAGCCTCCCAGTGTGAAGAAGTGTCTTCTCACCTGACTTTCCCACAACCCAGGACATCCATACATTCCCACATCCCCAATGGAGAAATCTCTCTGCTGACCCTGGAACCAGAGACTTAACGCACTCATTCACACAACACGCAAGGCACAAGACATAAAACGTCATACACCAGGAGTTCGCCATTAAAATCCACCATTGCTGTAATACCGAGAGAATAGAATGGATTGCTCAACTAATATGATGAGAATCGCTATCGGTGGGAGTCTGGAGGCCGAGGGAGTGAGCACTCGTCTGAGAGGTCTCACCGCGAGATTCATGGCACCGTTAAAGACAGCGGTGGCAAACGTGTCTCAATCGCATGATGCTGAGTCATCCCTCTGACTCCAGCTCCAAGCACAATAGGCAAACCGCATGTCATATATGTTTATGTATATATATTTTTTTAACTAAATTCTAAGGCACCATAAAAAGACCCATTTAATCAGAAATGTAACAAAAGGAAGTTAAAAGCTACAAAAGGATGCTATGTTGTTCATCTGCATTATGTTAAAATTCAGGTTCCTTAATGCTCATGGGAGTTACACAAAAATATTCTGAGCCAAAATTAAAAATGATTGGTTTGGAGAGATAACCAATCAGATTGTAGAGGAGATGGTCCCAGCAACTAGAGGAGGTGGGACCAACCAATCAGATGTCTTGGTCCTGCCTCCTCTAGTTGCTTGGGCCCACCTTCTCCACAATCTGGTTGGTTATCTCTCAGAACCACTCATTTTTCATTCTGCTCTCAGAACATTTTTGTGCAAGTAATACTCCCCTGAGTTTCAAGCACGCGTGTCTGACGCAACGAAAAATGGATGCAGCAAAGTTCTGAACAGCATCACCTTAATCTTCAATGATGTGGTTCTAAAGGGGATTCACTCCCTTTGGTAATTTTTTCTCGTGGACTAAAAAACGGTGATTCTTTGTGTGTTCTCTCAGAATTGAGGTATCGTGACCCCTTGCTATGGATGTGCTTCGTAATCTCCGCTGCTGTCATCGGAAGGCACAGAACTATTTAAAGGCCGCTCTCCTGTAGGGAATGACGGGGTCTGTGCAGTGTTTCGCATTAAAAATCACCCCTCCGCGGGAGGCTGCACGATCAGCGTGTTTAGAAGTGAGAGCTGCATCATCACAAGGACCAAAGTGCAGGGCGGCATCCAGGCAAGGGCAAGATGGGCAATTCCAAGGGGGGCACAGACTTCGCAAACCACTAACACCAACCGCTTGGTTGCCAAGCGCGCATCCAAGACAAAGGGAAGTGGGTGGTGAAGTTAGCCGCAAGTTGGGGCTCTGGAGGTGAAGTTTGGGGTTCAACCGGCAAGACAGATGAGTGGCTGGGTGGATGTGATCACTGAGAATCCCCAAGCTGCAGTTCACCAGGAGGGATGCTGGAATCCGAGGTCCGAGGGGTGGAAGGTGTCAAGCACTGAGAAATTCAAAGGTTTAACTTTGGTAAAAGGGCAAACGGGGACCTACCCTCACTTTGACACTCAGAGATATGGCAGGGGGACGCAGAAGAAGGTGAGGTAGGGTACACTGGCTACCAGAAGCCAGCGGTAAAGGGCGGAAGCAACACTATAATGGCAGAGATGACCGCAGAGATGACCGTCAACTTAAAATGAGTGAAACAAAAAAATTCTGCTGTGGTCTCTTTTTTGGAGAACTATTTTATTTATTTAATTTCTTAATTTTTAAAATATATTTTTTTATATATATATATATAGCATTGGTGGGAAAGCACACGATTTTGTTGTACATGTACTTATCAATAAAGATATCCTATTGTATTTATAATTAATTATAAATAAACTTTATAGTATAGAATGTCATATAGATCAGAGGGAAATTAAAAATAAACACGTCGAGTTTCATGTATTCTGTACAAGTTGCATGACCAGATCCAAGCACATTGTTTTATAAACATATTTATTCAATATTTCACTGCATTAAAATTAAATGTTCTCATGATTGGACTCTTTCCTTACTGTGTCACGGCCCTCGTCAGAAAGAAGGAATCGAACATCCTGTACCGGAAACAGCTTTTTCAGAAGCCAGACTGCAGCCTCATCAAAGAGAGTTTTCTGGATGCGTCTTATTTCAGGAATTCTGGGTTTTTAACATCTATTTAAGTAAAGGGTCATTTGGCGCGCAGGTCGCCCCTGATGTGAGACAGGCTCTGCCGTCATCTGAAAGAAATTAGAAAAAGTGTGTGTGGGGGTGTGGGGGTGGGGGGGGGTTCTTCTCTGTGTGTGAAGAATGGCTTTTAAAATGCGGGACAGAAATTTGGCAGATGCAGTTGACATCTGTTTCTGTAGAGAATGGGGTCACCAGCAAAACACTCAGTCATTAAACATCATGTGACTGGGTCCTGCCTGCGCACGGCCAGATCCCCTGATAAAGGGATTTAATGCCTCTCTTCCCCTAGGAAAAAAAGCACACCGTGTACTCTGGTTCTAAGGCCATTTGTCAGGAATTTTACTGGGGAACCACCCATATCGGAGGTCTACGGTTAAGGAGAGACAATTATCACTCAGGGCTGGGGAGTGTGACCAGGCCAAGGCATATATAGAAAATTCAGGCATACACAGCGCCGCTGTTATAAGTCTTCCCAAGGTGAAATGAAGATGCGGCTTTTCTGAACTATTTTTCTGACAGCATCTTCGTTAAAACTGCAGCCAGCAGATTTAAAAAGTTTTTTTTCCCCCCCAACAAATTATAACGTATTATATTTCGTTATATTTAGATAATAATGTGACTCTCTGCCTCTAGCTATAAAAATCACAGAACTCAGCAGACAGACATCAACAGAGTTCATTTCCTCAAAAAAAAATAAAAATAAAAATCTACCCCAGAGAAGAATGGAAAAAAGGTTCATTAAATCCCAGCAAGTCATGGGATTAATGAGAGAAACTAAAAGACCATTTTATGGCCTGTATGTCAAAGCACACAGAGATTAAACTTTAGCAAGCCTGAGAAAACAGCTTTATCTAAATTAGAATTAAATGAGGGGCTAAGGGTGGTAATGAAGGTGTTTTGAGGGGGTCATATCAGACTGCTGGGATTCAGTTTAATTTGTGTATTTCTCTTTAGTGTCGCTGGCCTAATTCTCTAGGCCAGTCACCACGGCAACAGTCAATTATTTACTTACCTTTCTTCAGTCCCAAAATGTAAACCAGCTCGTTCCCAGTCATTCAGACTCGTAACCGGAAACGGAGCATCACGCAGGTTTATAAGGGTGCCTAAGGGTGCATGACCCCCTCAAATAAATAACGTGCCCTCAATCAGTCCATGACTTGGGCCCAGAGTAACTACATGGGCACCGCCCTCATAAGCCGCTGGTCTTAAGTTAATGCGATTTAATACCTAATATATTTGATATGAATGCACTTACTGAAAAGCCTATGCAACGTATTCCCTATATAAGGGGCATTTCTGAATTTTGTGAGCCGCCAGTCAGCTCCGTTTCTCTCCGACGTGACCTCATGCGTAGGGCAAATGAGTGCGTTGCTATTCAGTTTTAACGTCAGTTAGCTATCTTGAATCAAGATGGACAAACATCAGCAACTTTGCACACAAAGACAATGAAATGAAAGGGGGAGGGGTTAGCCCTTCTAGGTGCTGTTGCCCCGGGGGCCCTTAATGCTCCCTGTCCATGACTGTCACATGCCTGCAGCGATTGTGCCCCCACACTAATCTTACAGGCAGCCTTAGTGGTTTTACTCTGGACCCGGAACTGCCACCACAGATGTCAATCGTCCCAGTCGGCCTTTGCGAACGGAACCTCGGCCTGCGCATCGTGTGTATGAATCTATGGTTTGCTATGCAATGCTCACCAGCACAACGGGTTTCAAGCAAAGACGCTAAACATAAGGTCATGTGACACGGTAAAAATAATTAGAAATGCAATAAAATGTGTTGCGATTCTTCAGCGGGAAAAAAAAACCAAAACAAAATGACGATATTTAGACAGGCAGGTTAAAGCAGGGTATAGGGAGATGCTGCTGTCACACTGCACTGCAGATGCACGCATAGCGCGAATGCTGGGGTTTTTGAACCGCGACGAGCGGGTCGGATGCATCACGGGGCGCTAAACGCCAGCACATGCCATTCGCACCACAGCACGCTATCCTCTTCAGCCGACACAGACATCAGCTTGACATCTCTTCTGCCAAGAGCTGCGCTAGCTGGCGGGACAGACTTAATGCCGTGTGTTGCGATTAAAGACAAAAACGCTAAAATCAGAAAAGGGAAAAGGCACAGGGATTTGCGTATATGGCTTCATGCAAAGGTGCCAAAGATACATCTTTTAGCCGTCTGCGATTTGCGTGGTCGTTTATTTGGGACTTTTCTGTTATAATCACACAGGTATAATAGATGCGTTCTGGGAATATCATATCTACTCTGGGCTTGTAACACAGCTCGTCAGTCAAACCTTCTGCTACGCCTGTGCTAAAGCGAGCGATTTCTCTTCCAGAATCGAAATATTATTATAGCTACTGTCCAAGTCGCATTCCTGCGCTCTGACCCGGGGACTCTCTAAAAGAGGGAGGCTCCTGTCAAGATTATAGGGTTACACTCTTAGAGAGACTATAAAAAAAAATGAACAACCACAGCCCATGTGGTGTCAGAGGCTGTGAAACCAGAGTGGTGAACGTCGGAGGGCTTCTGTGTTGGTATTTCTATGATAATAGTGAGACTAGAACCAAAACTCCTCACCTTCGCCATCTGGGCTTGGACCCCGGTGGTCTTCAGGCCTGTGACTGCTTTCTGAGCGGCGGCTGGGCTGTCAAAGTCTACAAAGCCGTAACCTATGTGGGTGGGGGGGGTGGGGGGTGGAATCCAAACATTCTGCTTGAACTGGATATCATCTTTTGTTCTACCATGTTCATCTAGGACTATATAATTAGCAAAAAGGTGAAATTTACGTTGTTACATTCTTCACTAAGCTTATCAGTAACATGATACAAAAAATTACTTTTCTGAAGACAACACTGGGTGAGACATGTGGCTGTGATGATAACAGTTGAAACATATTTGGACATTTTGAATACAACTTGGCCATTTTTTAGCTGGGTTAAGACAGAACCATAGCAAAGAGAACATTCTGCATCTGGCTCCATCTTTATAGACTGCGTTACAGAGACGGGAAACACAAGCACTGCAGTTTGTCATGACGACGCACTGCAGTGCAGGTCCGACCAGTGTCTCCAGGATGTGATACTGCACTGAAGACTGAAAGCTCATCCAGGTATAGCCTGCAAGCTCTTCATTGCAACGAACAAGGTCACATGACACCCGAATAGCGACATAATTACCAACCACCGTTCTTCAAGCAGCACTGCATGTCTCTAATACCAGTGGAGTTCAATTCTCTGCCTAATCGGAATGCCCAAAGAATCATGCAACACATTTATTGCCTTTAAGCACTGTTGTGACCGAGTATTATAACACTTACAGTTTTTCTCCGTTGCTTTGGACAATTTCTCGAAACTATCGCGAGGTTCTTTTAACTGCTTATGCATGTCTGAAAACAGTCCGTACGCTGCTGCACATTGCATACCCAGCAGATGAAGTAATTCATTCAAAACCTTTCATTCATGTTTTAATATGCAATTTTCTTGTCAGCCATTTAGTCAATGCCACCAAAATGTGAAATTTCTGAATCACTACCTAGCAACATGCCAGTCAAAATGTTTAGTCATGTTGTCAACAAGAAAATATACTATGGAAATATGATTTGGCATGTGCTGGAAATTTAAATTGATCAGTTGTCACTCAATTGTTGTTTGCTATCATTTCGCTATACCTGGAAGATTTAAAAATCAAAACTTTTTTTTTGTTTTTTATTTTTTGACTGAAAATGTGTTTTATGTGGTTATGTTGGAAACAAGGCCAATTCTGCATCATGGGTTGTCCTGTCACTCCTGCTGCTCTGGCCACATATTTTCATCTACATCACATCTCATATTCTCCCTTACATACATCGAGGAAAAAAATCTGCCCCAATGACAGACCATGCACACGTTTAAATGTTATTCTGAGCAAAAGTAAACAAACGAGAAGCATATAGTTCATTTCGGCAACATGACTAACACAGTGTTGTCAACTTTGGTCAACTTGCTGGCATGAGATTTTCAATTGGAGACAAGTCTGCACACATATTTACATGCATGTAACAGTTGATTAGCTTGTAAATAGCCTGTAGGGTTTGCAAACTACCCCGATACTTTTGATGTAGCTAATTTAGGTTCATAATGGAATAATATAGATTTGCTGTAAGATTTCATGCATGAGCGCGAGACTCAAAAAGTGTGTGTGTCACGCCAGATGTGTGAGAGTTGGCAACCCTGCTAATGCAACTGATTTTTGGGCTAATTGAAAGTGAAAATACCTAATCCTATAAGACCCAAATGAAATCATTTGTGAATGAAGGAAAACAATGAGAAATAACATTCTGTTGAGAGAAACTGACTTCAGGGTATGCAGGTTCACATATGTGGTTACGAGAGGCACTCCTTAAAAATTTGTCCAAAGCAACCGAGAAGAACTATAACACCCAATTGTTGATGTTGAAGGCCTCTTGAGGCCTTGACCTTTTGATGTGGAAAGGTGAGTAGGATCAATACATTATGTTCTGGACTACTGTAAATTTGAGCTCCCTCATTTGCATTACACGAGGATTACTTAGCACCGATTGGTTATAACATTAATAAGACGGCCAATTGGAATTAGGTTATGGATCACTCTGTTGGGTGGGACAGATAGCAGTACTGCAACCCCACACTCCCTTTTTTAATGGAGATGAGGAGACCTGCCAAGGCCTGCAAAGTACCACCACTCCCGTAGAAATGCACAGCTGTGGAAACAAATTGTGACAGGAGACAGCCGTCTGCGCTCCCTGCTCCGAGGTCCATCCTTTCATCATAAATGTGCAGAGTGATGGCCAGGGGGCTGGGCTTCCATTTCAAGGAACCCCCCCCCCCCCCCCAAGACCGGTCCTCTTGGTACCTTCCTTAAGGTAGCCTGGGCAAACTTTCACGCTCACTTGCAGACATGCGGCTTTTTTTTTTAAGGTGGACCCGTTTAATCCTTGGTTTCAAGGTTTTCAATCTCAAACAATGTGACGCAATCACAAGCTCCTTAAACGTTGACAGAGTATCTGGATTAAGAACGAGATACCACTAGGAGTTCAAATTGGGTCTGTTAACTCGGGCATGTTATGATTTAATGAGTCTCACAGTGTCACCAAGACAACAGCAAAGAAAGAGAAAACAGCGATACTGACCTTTGCATTTGTTCGTCGTCTTATCCAGGATGGCCTTTGTTGACACTATTTTGCCATACCTAAAAAGACGAGAGAGAGAGAGAGAGAGAGAGAGAATCTCATTGTCGAGATGATTATGCCTTAGACGAGCAGCTGTGGAAGAGACCACACGATAGGCAGAGCGAGTCCGCAGAAGCACATGCCATTTGGGACCTGGAGGACAGGAAGTCGCTCATGCTGAGGCGTAACCAGCCGTGCCAGAAAACCCAAAGCGACACATCAGAAAGTGTGGAGAGAACCAGAAAAACCACAACAAAAAGAGTAGCAGTTTGTGTATGAGGGAGACTAAAATAAAATGAGATTAAAAGAAGAGCAACACTGATGCTTGATGATCCAAATGTGCACCATCCCAGTGCTAATGTGAAGGACCGCCTCAGATCCTGACTGGGCTCCTACATGATTATCGGCAGTGAAATATGGAGGCTTGCCATCCACAGACAGACGAGCAAGGCCCACGGAGATCTTGAGGATTAAAAAAAAAAATAAAAAACAACCATAATAAAAGGAAGTGGCTTCCCTCCAGGGGGACAGCAGAAAACCATAAATTTTTCACAGTCAAGCGATTAACCAGTTTCCTTCCTCGGCCTCATGAACCTGGAGGCCGCTGGGGGTCACCGTCCTGGCCGATATATCATGGAGACGACCCTGGGGCAAAGCGTGCTTGGAAATGCAATCATGTTCCTCCACGAGAACATGCAGCACATCTGCCATAGCATAATCACAGCCCATGTATCTATATGAATAATATTAACACTGCTATACTGCTCTCATATTACACCATGTACAATAACAGGGAGATGATGGAAGTTCACAAGCATCAGACTGTCAAGGATAAATATTGCAAATAGCCTGATAAATTATTATTATAAGTTAAAATGGATTAGGTCCAATAACACAGGGGAACTTCAGAAATGCTTTGCTTATTTGTGCACTATATGTGTTTCAGGTTAAAATATAAAAATTTGAGGAAATTCCAGCCATAGCAGGGTATGTCCTACAGCAGGGGTTCTACCCCCTGAAACCTGGGATCGAGCCCTTCTGTGTCACGCTAGGTCTGGTTTGGAACAGATGCTTGGATCCACCTTTGCTTTCGTCGGTCTACGTTTGATGTCTAGAGCCGATGAAACACCTCCAGTTCTGCAGCTGGAGTCGAACAAGCGAGGTCACGCCGCCCCATGAAAATCCCGAGCAAACCCATCAGAGGCACGGATGGAGTCATCCTCAGCCTGAGTGGGCGTCGCCCCTCGAGGACGGGTTCTGAGATCCGATTAGCTTCGCGTGAAAATGGACGAGTCAAGAAGAAAAGGCACATCACCCAGTTACAGGACCGCCCCATCATAAGATTCCAAGCCGTGGTGATACGCCGTCCAACCGAATCAAGCTGGCAAAGCTCACACCCACCACAGAACCAATCAAATCTACCAAAAATTAGACTGAAAGACACATACATTAACAAGATGTCAGGTACATAAAGGAACATCCAACAACAGAGGAATTTCAAGGTGACCTTCAAACTGGTGCAGGAAGTAGGATGACATATTTACATAAATAAGGGCTCCGCTGACCTCAGGGAATCCTAAAGCAATCCACCAATCATATAGCAGGATGTCCCTACAAATTTTAAAATGCCTAATTGTCAATATATTATAGAACACATGGTTATTACAGAATGCAAACACCACACAAACCGACAGACAAGTGAATGAGCAGATGTGCAACATACAACAGCATTATTATATAATGAAAACAGAGACACACATAATTACTACCACACAGTCAAATAGTTGGTTCTACACGCTACTTATGAATCAGTACCAGGGACTGTAATATTGTTACTGCTACATACTTTTATTAAGACTTCTTAATATACATCTGAAGCTTCTTCAGCCTTTTGGGATGAGAGATGTGTACAATCCATAAATATACGTTGAATAGTAATTAATAAATTTCGTGTTGGGTCTAAGAGTGTCTTGTCATTGACTGGCCTCCCATCCACGGCGTCCCCAGCACCTCCAGGGATAGACCCCCCACCCTCTGAGCCCTTTACTAGATAAGCGGCATGGAAGATGAATGGAGGTACACGAGAGGTTCCTAACCACCACTTTTCAATCGACGATACAGCCAAATCTGACAGCACCAGCACTGCTCAAAGCCGACCTCTGTAATCTGGCTAAGAAGATCAAAGGGAATTGTCCACTCATCCGTTACGCTTCAGGAAGGCCTGAGTTACATTACATGGCAGAAAAGGGCACTTCAGGTCCCGTCTGGCCAGTCACACCGCTGATATTTGGGGGACAGTGGTGTCCACCAGCACCATTATTTTATTACTCAGTTCTGGCCAATCAAAGCATCCCCTTGAACCCCATCCCTCCAATGACAAGGAACTGGTGCTCTAATGTGGAAATACACTGATGTTCAGTCTGACTGCAACCCCCCCCCCCCCCCCATTTCAAGTTTACCAAGTTCTGCTCATTCCGGTTTTGTAAACCGGTCCGCTGCCTGTCACCTCCCGGACTGTACGCCATTCTGCCGTAATAAACTCTAAAGGCGACGATTCCGTGGGAAACTATGGATTAAGGAAGAAGAATCCAGCCTGGGGACCTAGCCCCATTTTTAAAAATGTGAAGACCACATCTCTAGAACGTGGCCCTGGATAAGCTCACCTCGCTGACGAAGGGAGAGCGAGACGGAGAACGTGGGGCAGGTATTATCACCCGGAATGCAAAAATGATCAAGAGCTTGCCAAGTGAAAAGAATCACGCTCTCCTTCCGGAGAGATCCATGGGGGAAAACATCTCAAGCCCATCCGGGGCGCGTACGACATGCGACGGGGACATCCGGAGCATCTGTGTGTGACATTCCTTTAAAAGGAAATCCAAGTCACAGGAGCTACATATGGTTAAACTGTCCCTGGGTTACCGTGTAAAGAAACAGAAGTGAAGCCCTTCTCATTACCGTGAGAGGACAGTTAATTCAGTCCACAGACGTTTAAAGAGACAGCGCACACATTTGAAACTGCATGCGGTCTGGAGGAATTTAACCCTGGTGCTTGGCTGGTGATGCGCTCCTTTAGAGGAGATGCCGTTTGGACGCGATTCCAGTAAGCTAAGGGGCTGGATCCGGACCAGGAATAGACAGGGCCAAGAACCTTATATTTGGAGAGGAACAGACCGCAGAGGAAAGGCAGCCAAGGAGGCAGCTATCCTGCCCAGGGCGGGGGGGTCATTTCGGGAGGACGTGAGGAGCTCGGTTCGTATTTCCTGCCGTTTGGGGGGCTGGCAGGCCTCTGCTGACTCACGGCCTGGGAGGACGGCACTTCCGAGGGAGGATTCTTCAGAGAAAGGGGGCAAAGGGATGGCAAAGGGTGCCGGAAGCCTGACAGGCAGACGCTGCAGTGAGGAGAGAGATTTAAACCCAGGTGTGGGGTGGCGTGGGTCTGGAGCCCACAGGCATCCGGCACCTGTCAGCCACAAATGACTTCTTTTTAGTAGGGCTCTCCAGGGTCACCGCAGCCTGCCGAATGCCACCCCATCCGGGGGTCGGGGACATGCCGGTAAGGGGTCAGACTGACCCCAACCACAACAAGTTTATACTGCGAAAGCAAATATTTATATTTAAAATCGATATTATTTGTCCTCACGCTGAATAAATGAATTTTATAATGGATATTCGCATAATCATATACTTAATTCACATACTTCATTTTTCTTTATACATAATACATTTAAATGGTAAAAATATTTTCCTATGTACTGACACCTTGGATATTAAATATGTTTTATATACATTTAATATTTAATGTTTATAATAGTAATATTTTACAAATTCATATTTTTACATAAGATGCTAATAAAAGAATTACTTTCAAAACGTAGGAAAGTATGAGATCAAGGTCCACACAGGTTGGAAAATTTGAGGTTTGCGATCCCTCAGTGGCGGTCCCGTCCGTCCGTCGCTTCCCTGGGGGTGGGGGGGTAATCGAATCCGCTGCAAAGTCAACATGACGCGGTATCGTTTCGCGCTGCAGACGGGCAGCCAACGAGGTCGCACGCTCCGACAGGAAATGGGATTTCAAAGTCACCCCCGACACGTTGAGCGAACGACAAAGGCGGCCCAAAGATCACCGTCTAGACTTCGGACGGCATATAGCCGTCTCCCTCCCGCCGTCAGCTGTCAGCACGTTGCCACCCGCCTCCGTCTGTATCATTTTTCCTTTTCAAATTAAAATGTAATGCCGCTGTCGGCTGTCCCCCTGCCTGCCAATGCCGGCTCGTTCACGTTCAGGGCGCCTCCGCCAATCCACAAACCTGGCCCTGTGACACAGCAGCTGTCAAGCAAAAGCCGTTTTTTAACAGGCCTTTTTTAAAAATAAAGAAATTTTTTTTTAAAAAACAAGCAAGACAGATTAATAGCACATATTACCTTTCTTTTAGACACCAACGCAAATAAATTCCATAACCTGGGGGTATTCCACAAAAGCAGGATTTTTCCATTAGTCAGACAACTGCCAAATGTAAGGATTGTCCAATAAGAAAATCAGTTGCCTCTCCTCCTATTGGACAGTTTTCATGTTTGGCTTAAGATATCCAACCAACTGGGAAATTCTGTGGAATACCCCCCCAGGTCTTTTTTTCCAGGTGGCACCAAAACTCTCCCAATCTCACACGCCAAAATTCATGCCTAAAAATTAAGCAGTTATCATCCATACAGATTCTATACAGACTCTTTTTGCTTTATGCCAATCTGGAATTCATTGCGCACCAGTTTCTCGTAGCTGCTGTCCCCCAGTTCAGCTCACGTTAAGCAAAGAAGATTCTTCCGTTTTGTGCGAATTCAGCCACCCACTCGCTAGCTCAAGCTTCTCTGGGTGATGCAACGTGCTCTGAGTAACGTCTTCTCGATTTATACAAAGTCAACAGGGGGCACCATTGCGGAGCGCTGAGAAACACCCGATAGGCATGGCACATCAGAGACTGACCCCAGCTCAGTCAATAGGGACAAGGTTTTTAAGGGGAAGGTCAGTATCTCAGTTGCTGCCCTATCTGATCGTGAAGTGTGACGCAACAGGATGTACAAATGCATTATGGGAAAATGAGTCAAGAAGCTAATTGTAAGCCTGTTAGGCTGCAAAACCATTGAGTCGATCCACACAGAAACGCTAGAGGGAGGTACTTACGGCTGGCAGAGCTTTACCAGATCGTGGTCAGTAGTCCCCGGCGGAAGACCCCGGATGTAGAGGTTGGTCTTGCTGAGCTGTTCCCAGCCTGCCGTGCTGCTGCTGCTGCTGCTGTTGTTGGCGCTGCTGTTGGTGCTGGGGCTGGGTGGGGCCATGGGGTGTGAGGAGGGGGCCGCAGACACCTGCCAGGGTTACAGAGACGCAGAGAGCCGGCATTTCAGAACTCGAAACCTGACACCCAGATGCAGACGAGGAAGAGCTCCCTAGCATACAGACGACCTGCCAGCCTCACACCTTCCTTGACTTCATGATGTCATTTCCTCTGATTTATTATCTGCCAGAAGTTTCACCCCCCCCCCCCCCCCCCCCCATTTCAAGTTTACCAAG